AGCAAGCTCCAACTCACACAATCGAGTTCGATTTGTGTACGTCCACTCTGCTTTAGTATCCTCACTGATTATTTTCTTAATCTATTTATTTCTATTTCTATTTGCCTTTCTGAATAAATATTACCGTGTGGTTATTCATAATGCTACCTTTCCTTTTTCATTTCTCTTCCAAAACTGAACTTGATACATTTGTGATCACTACCTAAGCTTCTAAAACCATATTCATCTATGTTCATCAACCTTAGCCGTTCATACATCCCGCTTTTTAAAACCATATTCATCGATGTTCATCAACCTTAGCCGTTCATACATCCTATGTGACATCACTGCATAATCCATCATCAACTGCAGTTTTCCTACCTCCCATGTTATCTGCCCTTCGCATTTATCGGTACTGTTGCTAATGATTAATTTATACCTTTCCCACATATACATTAGCATTCTGCCTTTTGGGTTCGTATATCCATCCATATCTACACTCACATCTCCTAATATAATTACCTCGCACTCTTCTCCTAGTTCGTCAATGTCATGTTCTATACACTGCACCATTTCTCGGTTTTCTTCTCTAGCTTAAGCCTCGGTCCACAAGTATAAAAAACCCAGGAGCGTCATCTGCCCTGCCGCTTTCGCTTTTAACCATAAATGTTCCCTGCACTCCTGCTTGGCGGTTTGCCTGTCTGTACTTTTATGAATGAATCCCCTAATACCACCCCCCTTTCTGCTGTCTTCAGTTCTATTACAATATTGCCATGCCCAGTCCAGATGCCTAGATGGTTGTTTCATGTTTGAAGATGTGTTTCTACAAACCTATATACCATTAGCTTCTCCTTCCTTAGCTGTTTTTCTATCTCTCCTCACTTCATCCTTATTCCTGTCACGCTGCATGTTAATATACCCAACGTCTGAATTAACTCGGCGTTCGTGCCTACGTTGATTTCTCCCTCAGACTCTAAGTATCTTAGATATTGGTGCCACTTTGGAATCATATCTGCCTATACGACCTTTCAAGGAGTCCCCCTGGTTGTTTACTCGTTACTAGCTATCCTGGACACCAAAGAGCCCGCGTGCCCCCACCCCCCTCCCCCTCCGAAAGCTACTGCACGTCCTGCAACCCACATCGCGACCTAGCCTCCTATCGAAGTGAATTGTTTCTCATTGAAAACCACCCAACCTATACACCTCTCTGTTTATTTCCACTACGAAACCTTTCTCTAGACTCATCTGCCATACGTCTTTGTATGCATCGACAACCGCTCTTTGCAGGTTGCCGTCACGCACCAGGACCTCCGATATCGTGCGTATGACTACCTGTACCTGAGTGAAAATAGTGTGCATGTCATCGACCCCTTTCGCCAGTGTGGTCGCTAATCCTGCCGAATCTTCATTTAAGACATCATTTAAACTGCCCGCAATAATGCAGATGTTTCGTCTATCGTCTTTAGTTGTGAGTTTTGCGCTCACTTGTCTCATGATTGCTTCCAGCTTATGTCTTGGGAACGTGCCTACTGAAACCATCTATCTATCACTATCTATTGTCACTATCTATCACTATCTATTGTCACTATCTATCACTATCTATTGTCACTATCTATCACTATCTATTGTCACTATCTATCTATCTATCTATCACTATCTATTGTCACGGTCCGTCCGTCCGTCCACATCCATCCCCACCCACCCACCCACCCATTCCATTCCATTCCATTCCATTCCGTCCGTCCGTCCGTCCATCCGCCCGCCAGCCCGCCCGCCCGCCCGCCCGCCCGCCCGCCCGCCCGCCCGCCCGCCCGCCCGCCCGTCCGTCCGTCCGTCCGTCCGTCCGTCCGTCCATCCATCCATCCATCTAGATAGATAGATAGATAGATAGATAGATAGATAGATAGATAGATAGATAGATAGATAGATAGACAGATAGACAGACAGACAGACTCAAAGTCGCCGAAGTTCGCTAAGAAATGCTTCACATTCAAAGAAAAATAGTCAGTTTGAAGCAGCGTGCACTGGGACAACACGTATATGTTTTTCATACATGATGCATGTAATAATATTACACACGATGATTATGCATAACCTCACAACTTTCCACATGAATTCAACTATGCTGATAGCGGTCTCCTCAACAGGAAATAGTTTGGGAGCAGCGCAAAGCAGCGACACAAGGGCTACTATTTCACTGCAATCTGACCCAAACAGAAAGTGCCGCGCGCATCCTCCTGGACTGGCTGCAATATCAACTGCTTAGAAGAATCACCACAAGTCATCGACATGTGCTTGAGGACACTCTGAGAGGTGGCGTGGCTGCTCACATCGACGGTTACAAATACCGCGTTCTGAACGGCCTCGGATCAGTTCCGCAGCAGTGCAGCAAGGGCTCATATTTCACTGCAATCTTGCAGGAAAGTACTGTGTTTGGGACTGACCCATAGGGAAAGCGCCGCGCGCATCCTCCTGGACTGGCTGCAATATCAACTGCTTAAAAGGAACATCACAAGTCATCGACAGTGCTTGGCGACACTCCGAGAAGTGGCGTGGCAGCTCACATCGACTACAAATACCGCATTCTGGATGACCTCGGATCAGTTCGGCCGCAGCGCAAAGCAGCGGCACAAGGGCTAACATTTCACTGCAATCATGCAGGAAAGTACCATGCCTGGGACTGACCCAAACAGAAAACATCCTCCCGGACTGGCTGCAATGGTAATGTAAGCAGAAACGGGTTGCTTGTCGATGAGGGGTCTCGACGGGAAGGACGGATCTGAGCAGAATGCTTTGACAATAGCTTAACAGCCATTCCACCCCCGAAGGCCGCCGTTCCTTATTTCCCCGGTATGGGCTTGGGAACCTAGCAAACCGCCCCGCAACATCTGCAAAGATGGAGTATTGACCCAGGGATGTAGAGTGGCGAGGAGATGGAGAATGGTATTGGGGTCGCTGAAGATTCCAAGAGTACTCGTCAAGTACTCTGCAGTAGCACGGGGTCGTTCGCAATCCTGACGCCGATGAGCGTCAAGTCGAAATCCAGGCAAGCCCATCTGTCGATACGAGCACTCCCGGTACAAGTGACCTAGCTCAACACAGTGGTAGCAATAAAGTGATCGATTGTCGGAAGAGCGACACACTACATTTCCGCACATTAGGTCACGGGTTCTCACAGTGTGGCGGGCCCAAGAAGTGCTGCTGCGTCTGCAGGCTGGTTGGTTGTGGGTTTTGATATTGCGGCGGGCCCGAGAAGTATTGCGGCATCTGCAGGCTGGTTGGTCAAGGAAAACAGTTGTCCGCCGGCGCAGGAGCAAGTATAGCTTCTGTGAAGAGCGCTGTCTTAGCATTCACTCCATCATTATCACTTTGCTGTGGAATTCCCCCACGCAAGCTGGTGGGTTTCGCACGAGTCCTGAAAACAGCTCTTCTTTGACGCCACGCATCAGAAAACATACCTTTTTGTCTTGCATCATTGCGGACTCAGCTCGACGGTACAGCCAGGACATCTCTTCAACGAACATGGCCATTAACGCTTCTGTTTGGTCCTTGATTGCGAAATTTGAGAAGACATTCTGCTTGTTCTTTTCGGCCGGCCCTACCATACGTGTTCCGCAACTGAGTGCAGAATACCAGCCAGGTTGTCAAGGCAGCCTCATGGTTCTCAATCCAAATGCGGGCCGAATGCTCCACCTAGCAATAAACATACCTGAGCTTCCGGTGATCGTTCCACTTGTTGGCGACGGCGACCACATCGTGTTGGTCCAGCCAGTTTCAACGTCTTCATAGGGCTCCCCATGGAAGGGCTTTGGGGTTCGACGGGCTGGCGGCCATGGAACTGGCGGAGTCGTGGTCTGTTCAATCTGACTTGCTGTTGTCACTCTTGCCATGGTTCTGGAGCGTTCTGGAAGAGGGCCTAAGTTGGGGGGGGGGGGGGTAGGCCGAGATGCCGCCAGCTGTGCCGAAGGTTGGCTGTAAGGCATCCATGTTGGGGTGTAAACCTTCCTCATGGGTACAGCGCATAGAAAACTACCTAGCACCTCCACCAGTGCCACATTATGCCATAACAGAAACCTGTAATTAACGGCGCCCAAGGACATCAGGCTGCACCGTAGAGTAGAGTAGAACCTTGGACAGTGGCACACACCCACAGTGCTAGATTGGCCAAGAACTGGGTAGTTTTCAAAAAAAATTCCAAATTATTTTATTAACTGTCGTCTCGTTGAAGATGAACGAAGTAGTCATGTAACAAATTTGCAAGTATACCAATAAATGAGTAAAAACATAGGTACTAACTCTGAGCTATGTAATTTAGAAAATAATAATTAGGAATTATAACGCAATTCAGAAAATAGGAGTACGGGTTGACTATACGATGTAAATCTCTTTGAACTTTTAATAATCTCCTCCAAAGCATCGGCACCCTTCCCGTAATTGTGGCCAAGGGACGAACCACTGGCAATATGACTTCGTCTTTTCCACAAGCTCGTCTTCGTCCTCTTTTCAACAGAGGTACATACAAGCCTGGCAGCATCAATAAAAACAATACTAGAACTGGCAAGTGGGCCACGAATCTGGCAAGTGGGCCACTTGCCAGATTGGTGGAAAGCACATTTGCATAGAAACATAGTCATGTAGTGCACTCTGTCATGATTGACTGAGGACGTCCGTATCTTCGACAGAGCTGCCAACAGCTTGTCAAATGGTGTATTCGCGACTCCATTTGAGCACTTGCCACCTGTCTGCATGAAAAATTGAGCACTATACTTACTTTTGAATATTGTAGCAGGTGGCCCATAGCTCCAACTCAAATCAGTTTTGTTTATATTTGGACAGGCCGGCATCCTTTCCAAAAGAATTGGCCCAGCTTTGTCTATATGAAATGTTACCTGTTCTAAGAGGTCTTGCAAATCAAAGCTTTTTAAGATGTCCATGCCATAGCTATAAAAAAATATTTACTTTAGTGAATAAATCAACTTAAATGAATCATTGAGTCAATTAACAAAGAAATCATTGAATCAATCATTCCAAAGCTTTATTATCCCAAGTAATAGTGCATGTTCTTTTTTCATTTTTTTGTTTCCTACTGTCCCTGCAATAGCACTGAATGATCCTATCTAGCACGCACCACTTAGTGATTGTCGTGATCCCACGAGAAAAGTTCTTAACATATCGTACTCTTCCCAACTTGAGTCTGGCATCGCAGCTCTGTAGAAACCAGCGGTGGAATTGCCCAATGCACTTTGCTTCTATGAGAAATGCGTTTAGAGAGCGTTCTTTGTAATTGAAGCCAAGCTACTCAACATCCTCTGCATTATTGTTGTGGCTATGGTCGATTGCATCTCATTCTCTTCGAAACACTGCACCACCTAGGTGATTGTTGGAATCTCACGTCTCAATAAATATGTGCACCATCCTCCGCAAGGTGCTTGACTCAAGATCATCCAGCCTCTTCGCCCAATCACAACATTTACCATACGAACACTTTCTCTGCCACCGTTTTTTACTGATATCGCATTCGGTCGCTCGCTTCGGCAAGCTTTCCCGTCCTCTCGATGAGGGCAGTCCACAATTGCAATCTTCCTGAACTGCACGAATCCCTTGAAGAATGTTTAAAGCTATTTCCTTTGCCAGCTAGGGAAAATCACACTCGTGAAAAATGACTCACCAGCGAGTTTGTGGGACGTGTTGCAAAGACGAACAACTCGGCCTAGACCATGTTGCAAAAAGGCAGCGCATCACCACCTCACAACAAGCTTCTGCTGAGCTGCATGCAAGCGGGTTTTTGCAATTGATTCCAAAAATTAATAAAACACTTTGGACGCTTTAAAACATGAATCCTAACCATACAGTCACTTTATGTGTTTGTAGTGCATGAAATTGTTTGAGATTGTTAAAATAGTTGACGCACTATTTGCTACTGCTGCCAGCAGTGCCATCAGCTTGTGAAACGGGGTAAACACTGCTTGGTCTCGTCCCAAAAAAGATCTCAGCCGAGCTAGGGGGAGACACGATGTGCTTCCCTCTTCTTAAGAGCATGCAAAATGGGGCTAGTTGGTCTGACTTCATAGTAGAACAGCCCAAAAATTTGAAGACACAAGATGAAGGAGTACACAATACAGACACTGTAAAACTAACAACTGTTGCGTTTATAGTGCAGAAAGGAATGAATACAGGTAGTCTGACTGCAGGTGCATCATCTCATTACACATACTTGCCACTAAAGAGAGACTGCACCAGCACAACAACAAAGTAAAAGGTATAGCTACTCCTCATTGGTCATCAAATTGTGACGCCTATGACTGTACACCATTGCTTCACAGCGTTCTTGTCATCGTCAGCCATGTGAAATATTAGCATACAGCTGTTCACATTACGCACACACATACAACCACGATTTCTTCACAACCATGATCTCTGCATTTCTGCCTTGTCTATATGTCTTCATGATTGCGAATTTAGCTGGCTCGACAAAAGTGACAAGTATCTGTAATGTGACGATGCACACGCAGTCGGACAACATGTATTCATTCCTTTCTGCACAATAAACATGACAGTTGTTAGTTCAGTACCTGTCTTCATCTTTTTCAGTCTGCTTTACTATGAAGCTAGCCTCTAGTACGGCCACAGTTTTCAATAAGGTTTGTTAAATTATTGATCTTGGTCTTTATTCGTCGGGATGGAGATGTGCCACCAAGCGTTAACATGAGTGCATCTAGGTTAAAGGGTGTTACAGCTGCCAAACACCAACAGACATTGTGCAAGCTCTGTTGCATCAATGTATACAATAAAAATTCCACTATACTTCTGTAAGGACATGTTTTACTTTCGATTCCTATGACTGAAGAGTATATTAATCTTTTTCTTTCTTTTTGGCTGCTGGCTCTATTCTCGATTTTGTAGGAGGGTGCTATCCTGTTGTGTGTTCACCATACAGTCGACACGCTTGGGAGAGCAGCTGTTGGTGTTCTTTCTCCACACTTGGGACACATGTTAGAGTTGAAAGCACATTCGTTCGATGTCCACTTTCTCGATACTTTCTGAGGAAGAAAAAGATACACATGTTTCCAACAGAAGAAAAGGGTCTGATTGTGGCAGTGACAGATTTATAACTTTCTGTAACTCAGAAACGTGCTACTTTGATAACATACCTCTTTGACCTCGTACGATCACTCTTCAGGCATCCGCGAAAAGTGACCCTTCCTTCCCTGCAGGTTTCTAAGATTGCCATTAAACAGATGGTAGTTGGTGCTTCACCTTCTTCTCTTTTTCACGAAATGTATTTTTCACCAGAACCTGACTAATGTAAGCAACAACTGGCCCTTAAAGAAGTCCTTCTGGAACACAGTGTCCCAGCCATGTTGCCATAACTCTGAGCCATACTCAGGTTGCTGTAACTTGCTCGACGACCTCTTCGTCGATCTCATTCTCCTCTTCGTAGAGTGGTTCATTTTTCTTGGCATCGTACATATCGGCCACTTCATTCGGCATCTCTGCGTTCAAATCCAGATCTGCAAGAGAGAGTTTGTAGTGAGCGATTTTTCCATCCGTCTCGGTTGCGCTTGCAGTTTGTCACTGAAAGCCAGCAGATGACAAGGATATTCTACTGAAATTATGATACAAATTTCAAGTAAGTGCTTTCCACACATCGTAATTACTAGAACAGAGTTAAACAATGGATCGAGTAGGACACTATTCGGTTCCCATATTCACACCATCTACTGTTCACACAAGTGTAACATGCCGGCTTCACCACAATAAGAACAATGCACATTACGGGGAAGCATCAGAGACATGGCAAGCATGGTTTCCCACAGCCACCAAGTACCATTAACGAGGCTTGGATCTACCACAGGCAAGGGTTCTCAAGCAAGGTATCCCAAGAGAGTCTCCTGCGAGTGCGAGTGGTGCTACTCCATTTCACAACCACCTTGCCACACTGCTGAAGCGACGAGGAGTCTTGTGAAGCACATGATATATTTCCGAGTGTAACTGTTTCATTATAAACAAGAGATAAGGGTTTCAGTCGTGCCTCTTGCATAACTTGTTATGGCGATACGCAATGCGTTAGACCTTCAGTCTCAGGCATTTACCTTCAGTCTCAGACCTTTAGTCTCAGACCTTCTGTCTCAGACAGGCATTTTATAATCAATTTCTAAAATATTGAAAAAATAACCGGTTGGTAACTGCAATAGCCACCCTAAACACTATGATGCAAAACGACATGGCAGCCCCCATACATTTTAGACCATTTGCATCCCTCTGAGTTTGCGCTTTTTGGGGGCTTACTGCCTGGAAGCAAAAAATAAATGGTGTAATCTGTAATGAAATAATCTCATATAATGCTAAAACCCAAGCATCAGGTATATTTTTTCACTATTATTTGGATCACTCTTTTAACGTGAAAGTTTTGTATGCCGGGTTACACCAAGCCTTCAGCAATATATTTCCGCCACAGAAATGGCATCATAAAGATATTTATGATAGGAAGACAACGAAGCAAAAAGTGGATGATCCCCTAACATAAAAATCGGTATAGCACAAAAGTGAAACGCGTCTTCACAGAGGTAGTTGAGCATTGATTATACATTGTAGCAGCAACATCAACAAATTGCAAAGCCACGTTAGGAATGGCAGGCAGCTGAAACTTGCAGCACATCCCTCAACAACGGCCGCACCTCGACACTTAAAGCACGCTGTTTAAACAGAAAGACAGGCGTGCGAAACGAGCGCACAAGTATACACAGGACAAGAGCAAACAACTGTGACAATTCTTCTATCGTCGTGTGTCAGCAGCGCACTCTTTGCGTACATGCGGCCGTGGCGCCGAGTGAAGTGAACTTCATCCTCTCCAAAACTACAAGTAAGATAAGCATGTGTGTAGCAAAGACCCCGCTTCGTGGAGGTGGAGCTCGTACAAACGCACAAGGCAATGACCACACCAAACACGAGTCCCTCACCCCATCCCGCTACTGATAACAAAAACGCACAAAAGTTTGGAAGATTTGAGGATCGCTGCACAGTGTATATAAATGGCTTGCCGTCACCGAATCCTACAATGTACGTTTTGTGGCATAGTGGTTAGCATTGCGAATCAAGAGATTCCTGGTTCGAGTCCACATGACAGATCTTGCCTTCTTTTTTCTGTGCAATCTGTCAGTATTTATTTTCCAACGTTATATCTGCGATGGAAATATGTCAGCAGGGCTGTGGCGGACCCTGGTATAAAATACTGTGATGTTAGAAGTTCTGTTAACCGGAGTCGGACCCATGACCTCTCGGCCTGCGGCGAGAAATGCCAGGCACACTATGCCTTGGCCACGGTCCAGGCCACGGTCCGAAATCCAACCACTTCTGCATTCCCAACAATATTGCTCACATTTCTATGGTCATACTTACGCGTAGTGTCCACTAAAAATCGAATGTTGCGTATATCTGAGGCAGAAAATTAACACATAAATATATGGTGGCGTGTTTCTTCATACCATAAATGTCATACCTATTCTAAGGAAAGTAGGGTTTAATACGCTGAGCTGACAATGCAAGGCGATGGACGAAAAGGTGGGTGGTTCCTGCACTTGACTAAGACTATACGGTGGTGGCACCTATTCGCTGCACGCATCGAGGCACTTTAACAGATGGTCTCAAGAATCTCATTCACTGTTTTTCTCTCGCAGAGCACCAAATAACTGTTTTATTCACTCTCTCTAGACGGAACACTATCGTCCTTCGTTGACATTTGCAGTCCAACATGAAGATATAGGGCGAATTTTCAGACTTTGAATATTCAGACTATATTCAGACTATGCCTTGTGCCACGGTCAGGTTCTTTGTACGTTAAAAAAAATAGCCTTTTATATCTGTCACTGCCCTTTCACAGCATTCTTGGCAAGGTGCAGTCATGACCATGGCATCCGCCATTAGTTCCTTCAACCTGTCGTTCTAAGCGTCTATCCCATTTGGCTCGTTTCAAATAGAAGTGCAATTTTGTCATCGCCTTAACGCCTCAGCGCCAATAGACATAGCGCTAGCTCTCTTATATTAACGTACAGCAAACATTAAACTACTTCTGTGAGAACACCTTTTAATTTCGTGTTTTACCGATTTCTACGGAGGTATCAGCAACGTTTTTTTTTTTATGCTGCTAAACCTATCCAGGCGTTGCGGAGCTGTAAAAGTGGTTGGATGTTCACTGAACTGACAGTGCCACAACATTAGCGCCGGAGATATGCTGACAATATGAAACACTCTAAATGTCTACATCGTTCTTAGTGCCAATAATTTGGTCTTCCACACAAAAATGGTACGTGATGGCTGCTAAAAGTGCTTCAAGTGCATCACTGGAACACCGTAGGTCAAACAACCAATATTGTCCGAATGAAGTGGAATTAATAGCACTGAAAATGTCCGATGCTGCAGAAAGAAAAAATTAAGGGAAGAGAAAAAAATAAAGCTCGATGAAGGCACCAGCATTAGCGCTGTCATAAAAAAAACGCCTTTCGCACAAATACCAGTGAATATACCCAGCATAAGTGGGTATCAGAACATGAAGAAAAGTGAGGTGCCGTTCATGAGGAGGCTTTTAAATTAACTTCAAGGAACAAGTATCAATAAGGTGGGCAAGCCAACGCCAAAAAAACAACGAGGAGACAACACCATGCGCATGAACAGGTCTTGAGGGTGTGCGGCTGCTGACATCCCCTTGTAAAGCTTTGTGCACCTCAGGGCGCACGTGTCTCGCGCAGAAGCTAAAGTAGTTAAATAAATGTGTGTTGGCATGGCTCATTCTGACCACATCTACTGTGTCCGTTCACTCCAAGAGCGTTGTGGCACTGGTGTTCCCCCATATCGAGACCACACACTGGCTGCCTAACGTGGAGCTCTTTGAGCATCGGATGACAGATTTCGCGGTTCAATACAAGCTTTTATTAGAGCCGGGGTAAAGTAGGCCAAGGAGGACTTCTTTGCTAGCGTCGGCGTTGTGTTGTGTTAAGAGTGAGGAGATCGGTTGTTTTGTCGGCACGTTGAGTTTTTTTTTTCTGCTAGCAAGTGTTGTTTTTTTTTGCGTTGTTGTCGGTTTTTAAGAACGTTGTTGAGATAGTATGACAGCCATGCGGTCTGCATCCTGGGGTGAGCAAAGCGTAGAGCACGAGGATTGTAGACCAGGCCTGGAGCGAGTGAGTACAGAAGCCTCATTCCGGGACGGTGGACACCAATCGCTCGGTAAGCTCCTGTGTGCAGTGAGCGATGGGGCCACCTTACAGAGTGGATGTCTCCTTGCGGCTGCCTCTTCTGCACCTGGGCTAGGTGCTGGGTGGATGCCGGTTGTTGTCAAGCCTAGGCTTCGCGCAGCTGCCTGTCGTCTAGCCTAGGCCTGTTGTCAAGCCTAGGTCTAAGGCTTTGCGCAGCTGCCTGTCGCACGTGGCACAACTAGGTGGACTGTGGCGTTCAGGTGGTGCATTCTGCTTCTCTCACTTTTTCACAATGAAGGCTGTTATGAGATGACTTATGGGTCACGCGCAGTTGCATGTTGTCCGCCGCTTGTTCTTGTTTCCTTATTAACTGTGGCACATACCCACTAAAGTCATGATTCCTCATAGTCGTCAGCCACTGCATGAACAATTGGCACGAAATTCCCTGCAAGTGTTTAGTTGATACCACGCTTCTCAGAAGAATGATGAAAAATAGCACAACGAATGCCGGCCTACTACCCAAAAGTTTGTTAATAATGCCCTAATGGGTACCAAGCAAATGTGCTTGCAGTAGTTACCCAATGAGTGTTATGAAAAGGCTCTGAAAGGCTGCTCTTCTAGCTTTCACTGTGACTGTGCTGGGCCTACCGTGCAGGCCTGGGTTTAATTTTTTATCTTGCGATGTACGAGTTAGGAAAAGTGATTTTCATTTTATTTTGATAGGCGTCTCGGCCGCCTCGATGTATTAGCTAGCAGTACTGACCATTGTACCACGTGGGCGAGGAGCCCGAAGCTCCCTTTGCCCTACTGCATTGTTCTGTCGAGTGTTTCGGATGTACGCAGTGGGAGTGATGTAACCGGCGACTGGCTGTCTTCTGCACATCGTCAGCGCCTCTGGCCAGCAATGCGGTCACGATGTCGGGTGATGGACATGTCTGGGACCTGCGCAACTGCCTGCAGTCCGGCGCTCTTGTGAGTGCTGGTTGCAACCGGAAGACGTGTCGGCGCGAGTGACGGTTCGTCGCGCCGACGGTAACGTTGCTGTTGCGGGGCCAGTAGTGAGGTCGAGCCGGACAGCGCAGCAGTGTTAACCGGCGGCAGTGTCATGGTGCACGGGCATTGTGTAGACATGGGTTGTCATGTTTTGTTAAAACTTGTGTACAAGATTTCTTTTCTTTTCAGGATATGGTTCGAATTAAAGTTGGGGTGATGTGGGATTGCCGACACCCCACTGTGAAGTCACGTGTCTTGCGCACGTGTACTGTGCAAAAGCCGTATTTCGGGGTCACAACTATTGAGCGGTAAGTGGTGTTGTGTTC